ATTGACTGATGGACTGGATTGAGTGTATTCTTTCAAAAATGAACGAAGATATGAAAGCATATGGACTGAGCCAAGTCGGTAGGCTTGTGATTGCTTTCTGGGTGCTTGTGTTTGACGATGATTTATGGCGTCAAAGTGAAAGTCACAGTACGCAAAACAGCGACGACTGAAGACAGAGATACCTTGTTGTTGTTGTTGTTGTTGATGATGTCGCTGAGAATATTCAGAAACTTGAAAAGAGAGGAGATGTTCGAATCTAAATCCATGCAAGCCGGCGCGGCGAGCGTCTGAAGTTGAACAGTTCAAAAACGGAATTTCTCCGTTCCTCCATGACCAATAGAAATGGAAATTAAAACCCTTTTCTTCATTTCTCCATTTCTCCATTAGTTCTTACCATCAGATTCTTTTCAGATTCGTTCTTCGACATACTGTACGAGTAAGTGAATGAATGAAACTGCACACTATGTCGATCCAGCGCATACTGTACTATAGTACTCGTACATCAGTATCGACAAGATCGCGTGGCCAAGATTCTGGAATTGAATCTACTGTACACCATTTGGACGGTCGGTTCTAAATATGCTCGGTTTCTAGAAAACGAATCAATCGACGCCTACAGTGCCGATGTCTCGGTTTTTTCTGCGGTATTCCTCATGAAGAATTGTACCTTCGAGCCCCATCTGACCTTTGCGTACCCCGCCATCCATATCTTCTGATAGGATCGGCACTGTGCAAGCACAAGAAACAACAACCGCCTGTATTGGTAACGTACAGTTACTTTGTATACGGAAAGGAAATCTTATTTCCATCCGTTACTGCTGAACCGCAGTATTTTATCCATCTCGCGAGACCGCGACACACATATCATATATATCATGTTTCATGCTATACCCTATGCGGAAGAATTCGCCGTCAAGAAGCGGGCACTGGATGTTGCTTTGAAAGGCTATTCAGATGTGAAACAACCGAAACGAGCAAGTTCATCATTCATTAGTATCCGAACGCCATCTTTCAAATTAAACGCAAAGTCAAGTTCACAACTCATCATAAAGACTATGGACGAGCAGCGACACATTTTGGAAGGACTTGACGAATCGATACATACAGAAGTCATGTTGGTCAATTCAATATTAGTAGACCATACTGATGGTAGTAGTACGGCGGATGATAACATACCAAACAATCTAAAGTCTGAAGTCCTCGATGCCATGAGATCCATCAAGGGCTACCAAAAGGAATACGTCCGTGTCTTGCGAGTGATGGAAGGAATCAAGGTAGTCGAAGTGGCGATGCAAGATGGCTTCTTGGATCCCAGAAAGGTAGCTAAGTGTCTCAATGAAATCCTAAAGGTGACATGGAAATCCAGAGCACACAGCCAATCCCAACAGGTCATGGCTTCGGATTCCAAACTGTTGCATCAGCTCCAACAAGAAGAGTTCTTCCCTTATTTAAACTCGAGACATCCGGGTCAGGTATTCTTTCGGAGTGAGAAACCTAAAAGGAGGGACGAAGAATTGCATCTGGTAAGAATGAAAGGTGCAAGTGCTGGTAATGGTGGTCCATGCTCCACGGACAGTAGCAGCATGCCTGCTCTTTCCAGCATATGCTCGGAGTCCGTGGTGTCGGCTTCGGTCTATGGAGACTCTCAATATTCCTGCTACGCACCTTCGGAAGTTTCCAGCAGTGCACCCAATTCTCCTAGGGCAGAAAATTCCTGGTCCAATCGCAACAAGCTCATTCCAGCAGACTTTGTCAAAAATCAACAACAGACTCCCGTTTCGATTCCAGACTTTGATTCGAGAGATACACTGATACCATCATTGGCCTTGCGGCATCCAGAAACTACTATTTTGGATTTTCTGAGTCCAACTTTGGAGATGATTGTGCCCAAGGAACGGCCTTCCAGGTGGGGCTCCTGCAGCGGCAGCAGCAGTGACACCAACATGTCCAAGCCTCTGCATAAGTCGGAACCACCGGGCTTGATGACCACCAAGGTTGATGCAACACCCTCCTACCTCCGAGACTGCCTGCCAACCCGACCACCCTCCTTTGCCAAGCGGGCCACCAATGATTCCTTTTCTTATTTGGAGGAAAAGAGCAATGACTCGTCCTCGTTAATTGGAATGGATGAAATGTTTTGCTCTCTGGATTCCGTTCCAAGCATACCAGCACGAAGAGGGTCCGGGGACTCGAGATGCATTAAGGAAGAAATACTAGATGATTGCTAATGCACGAGGACGGCAAAAGTAAAATAAAAGTACTAGTTACAATATATTCCATATCGATCTAGTAACCGGCAGCAGCGTCCACCTGATTCAGTAGAACTTCACCCCGAAGGAATCTTGGAAGGTTTTCTTCAACGAAGAATTCCGATGCTTCGAGCATGAAGGTATCGGTTTGGTCCATGTTGTGCCTGAGAGAGGAAAGAATAAGTTCCATGTTAGCTGGGTTTGTGGTGGTCTCTCGGAATGAAACTTCCATTTGATTACTGTAGCCATACATATATATTCATATCAAATCATAACTTACGGACTCAGCAAGACATTGTCCAGATCCCACAGTTCACTAGATTCTGGAAGTGGCTCCGTGGCAAATACATCCAGTCCAGCTCCCTTGATCTTTCCCGATTTCAGAGCTTCAGTGAGTGCGTCCTCGTCCACGATAGGGCCTCTCCCGACATTGATGAAACAACAATCGTTCTTAGCGGCATCAAACTGCTCTTTGGTAATCATTCCTTTTGTTTGGGGTGTCAATGGAGCACTGCACAATACATAGTCACTCTCAGCAAATAGCTTGTTCATGGATTCCTTATCGTTACCATAGACAGTATCGCAGTAGGGATCCTCCGAAGATCGATCAGGATTGCGTCTCAGAGCAATTACCTTCATACCATAGGCAGTTGCCAACTTGGCAGCCGCTCGTCCAATATCTCCGTACCCAATAATGCCCAAAGTAGAACCTCTAAGTTCCAAAACACTGTACTTTTTCCAATTCCGATTGTTCTTCTGTTTGAGAAGACGGGGCAAATCTTTGGCAAAATAAGCACAGGCCATCATGGTGTACTCGGCCAAGGTGGAACTAAAGCTTCCTTTGGCATTGGAAATAATGACACGCTTATTGGCTTCCGAAAGAGCCTCCGAAGCCACAAAATCAATGCCAGCCGAACGGGTGTGCACCCATTCAATACTTGGCAATGCCTCCAACAACTCTCCCAAAGGTTGTCGAGATAATGGATGTGATACAAAGAGAACATTTGGTTCTTCCTTTTGAAGAGCTGGGATATCAAAGTCTTCTATCTTGCTTCCAATCTTCAAAAGGGAGCAACCTTCTGGCAAGTCTCCCTTGTGCACTGGGTCATTCGCCGGATCATTTGCATCTGACAAGGACAAAATCTTGGCTTGCTTGATAACTGCCTTAGTCATGTCAAAGTTTTGCTTGGCAGAATCTTCGCGGTTCCAAAATTGGGACATGGCTCTTCTTGTACAAGCACTTCTACTTCTACTAGTAGTAGGGGTACTAGCTGGTGCAAAATGAGCAGTAGGAACAAACGAGGATATTGATCTCTGGAGACGAAAAGAAGAATACGCCCAAACGTGGCAACCTTTGGTGGACAAACTTCTTGTAGAGGAGAAAGCGCTTGCAGATCGAAGGGAAAGACTAATCAACATGGACACCTTCCAATCACCTAATTTCATCAGAATATACCTATAGGTACAACGGCAAGATCTGGAGATGAGAGCGCTTTTCAACAATCAACTTCTGCGAGATGAGAGTGATAAAAGCAGATGATGAATTCGATGATGTCATCAGGTGCTGAGGTAGGCCTTAGTTAATCCAAGCAATCAACCCCACGCACGATCAAACACATGGGAGAAGATGAGACAAGGAAGAATTCCAAAACCAACGTCACAGATAAGCTTGAAGAAAGCACACCACTTACTCGTCATTGCATAATATATTAAATCAGTTGTCTTGACAACGTCAGAAGCAAGCACGACTACAATCGAACTCGCATAACCTACCGTACATTTCATCCTCACGACATCAAATTCGTATGAAACTAAGCAAAATGGCCAAAGCTGTAGGATCCGCAATTCTTCAAAACAGACCACTTCCCAAAGCTGGACCTTACCCCACTGGAGATCCTTATCTATTCTGTGTCTATCATAAGGTGAGTTGTCAAGATTTTTGGAAAAATGCTTCGCTTGGGCCTTTTTGCTGATTGCTAACAATCGTGCTGATTGATTCGTTCATTCATTTTCGTCGTCGTCGTTCTGAATTATTATTTTAGGATCACTACCCTGTCGGAAATGGCAAGATGGAAGCCCCCTTTCCAGGAAATGGAAGCGACTTTGATCCCACCAAACCTTACCGAATGTATCACGGTGCCTTGGTTCCCGGCTTTCCACAACATCCGCACAGAGGCTTTGAGACCATTACCGCTACCAGTACGTGGCTGCATGGAGGCCGATGTGATTTGATACTAATTCTGGTGGAGCACTGCACTCACAATCTTCCTTTATTTCGCTTTGCCTCAATCTATTTTTGTAAATTTGATCAGTTGAAGGATTGATTGATCATGCTGATTCTGCTGGAAATGGAGGACGCTATGGGAATGGTGATTTGCAATGGATGACTGCTGGAGGTACGTCATTAGCAGATGGAACGACCGCCATTTGTGTTTTGGACTGATTCCGTTTCTCATTACACAAGTGCCAACTGTTGTTTTCTGTCATATTCTTATTAACCAATTCTAACTCAATGCAGAGGGAATTGTCCATTCGGAAATGTTTCCTCTACTAAATACGGAGGAAGACAACAAGACTCGCTTTTTTCAAATCTGGTTGAATGTGAGTATTTTTTTTAGTTGTGGCTGCCTATCTTATTCAGAGTGGCACAAGTCTCGTTGTCTGTATGCGTGTGGCTTCCACAATTCGACCACATTGAAGCCATCTCTAACATTACTTTCGTATTCTTGTCTCCAGCTACCAGCTCGCAGCAAAATGGTCAAGCCTAGCTTTGCCATGTTCTGGGACAAGGACGTTCCCAGGTATGAGTCCGAAGATGGCAAGGCCAAGGCGACAGTCTGGGTTGGACTCAACTATTTGGGCATTGAAAAGAATAATCAACCTCCTCCGGACTCGTGGGCGGGGGATGCTTCCAACGATGTGGCGTTGGTGCACCTGACGGTCAAACCTGGCGGTAAGTTCACTCTTCCCAAGTCACACGAAGAAAAAGTGAACCGTTCCTTGTTTTATATTGAGGGTAAATCGGGTGTTTTGGTGGATGGTAAATCGATTCAGCAAAAATCCAGTCTGGTCCTGGATCCATCCACGGATATTGAAATTGAACTGCCAGAAGACCACGAAGTGGATGCCGAATTCTTGTGGATGCAAGGCAAACCCATTGAAGAACCAGTCGCACAATACGGACCATTTGTCATGAATACGGATTCAGAAATCCAACAAGCCTTTATGGATTACCGACGAACCGAGTTTGGAGGCTGGCCTTGGCCACGTGATGACATGGTATTTCCAGCCGAAAAGGGTCGATTTGCACTATTTGATGGCAAGGAAACCACGCCGACGGACGAGAAAGTTTGCGAAGAGTAAGAATATTAATACAATGTATATAAAAAAACTTGTAAATAGTACGCTACCGGTAGCAACAACTTCAAGCATTGAATTTGGTTTATTGACAACGTTGAGAGGTACTAACCAGGTACCTGATACAGTACCAACAAAGTCTCATTGCGACGATATTTTCAAATTTGTCCATTTTTGGGCATGAGTTAGTCTCGAATGACGAGTACCAACCTAATAAGGCACATGATAATGTAGAACAGCAAAGGAACACTATTATGAACTAAACGCAGCCGAGTCTGAGATCCAAAAGATCGGTTGACAGAGAATCACAACACAACTGTCTTTCCTCTATCTCTGCTTCCACGATTGATTAAAGATACAGCTCAACGATAGCTGTGCTAATAAAGGTGTGGGTCTGTTGTGATTAGTTCCAGTTGTGCACATCACACACTAGCT